TGACTGCGAGGGGAGAGCGGCCCCCCCACTCAGCCCCACACCCCACTCCCTACAGCCGCCGGGTTTTCCTCGAGAACCTCCCACCCAGCCCGGCTCTGCGTAACTCCTGTCAGATCCCAGGAGCTCTCAGCCTGGCGCAGCAGAGCCGCCCGCCCAGGCCTTCGAGGCCCGTACCTCATGTCTTCCTTCTCGGGGTCTGAGTCGGCGTGAAACCCGGCGGCTCTCAGCAGGTCGCTGCCCCCCGGGTGATGCCAGCACAGCCTCTGGGGAGACAAAGGGGAACAAAACAAAATGAGAGTCCATGGAATGCAGGCTCTCCACTGGGCACACCAGGGCCTTGCCTCCCCCCTTCCCCGCAGCCCTTCCTCCCCCTAACTGTGACACCCCCTCCTCAGCCTCCGCCTTCCCCCCCGGCTGGTTCAGGGGTGCTGGGCTCACCCGTTTGGAGGCTGGCCAGCTTTACAGGGTGCAGGAGGCACCAACTGCGGGGAGCACGGCTGTGAGTGTGAGTGTGAGTGTGAGTGTGAGTGTGAGTGTGAGAGAGAGAGAGAGAGAGAGAGAGAGAGAGAGAGAGAGAGGGGAGGGGTCTCTCACACCTAGAGGACAAATACACCCTGACTTGGTCAAAAACAACCCTTTCACAGCGCCCCCTGGTGTTCCCCACCCCCCACTGCAACACAGCCCTGGGATGTTATTCTAGGAGGGGGTGGGTGAGATTCTGTGGCCTGCACTGTGCAGGGGGTCAGACTAGATGATCATAATGGTCCCTTCTGACCTTAAAGTCTATGAGTCTATGAGGAGACACTCACCGGGACACGCCTGGCGTTGAAGTGGGCGAAGGCCCGTTTGAGCTCGTTGTCCAGGAGCCTGCTGGGGACCCAGAGGTACTTGGGGAGGCTGCGGGAGGAAGCGGAGTTGGAGGGGAACTGGTTCCGAGCGGGCCTGGAGGGCAGCCGGCCCCCCCAGCCGGTTCAGACGCTGCGCACAAATTTCGCAACCCCATTGTGGGGGACCCCTGAGGCCTCTCCGGAGGCACCTGCCCTCTTCCCACAGCTCCCCTTTTGACTGAGCATGCCCAGGTCTTTACAGGAACCATCTTCCTCTTCCCCACCAGGTCTGATGGCCCCTGGCCCTTCAAGGAGGCAGATCGCCACTCCGAAATCCTGGATGGGAGTCAGGATGCCCACTGCCCCCAGCTCCCTCCCACACAGAGAACTCAGAGCCCCCCCTGCCAGCGTCCCTCCCACGTGTGTAAGACGAGAACCCTGCCAGATCCCCCCCGAAAGGCGCTAAAGGGTTTTTTGCCCTCGGAAATTCGACAGCTAAGGGGGTTTTTCGCCAGAAAGCAGCCGAGTGTTGAAACCCAAAGCTTCCGGTGCAAAAGGGGGCTGGTTTGGGCTCATTTTCACGAATCAAAATCATTCCGGGGGAAAACGCCAAAGCTGTGGAAAGGTTTCGTTCTGACATTCGCAAGCCGAGGAATTCCCGTTTTCCGGTTCCCAGGCCCTTCGGGTTTAGAAACTCTCGCGCAGGCGCAAAACAAACACCTAAAAGGGTCAACGTCAAAACGGAACAAGGCGGCTTTTTCCGGGTCACGGAAGCGCTGGAGAGTTCGACGTCTCCTCCCCGCCCGCCCTCCGTGGGGACCGAAACAGGGTTCGAAATCTGGAAATTTGTCCCCGCGTTTCTCCGGCCACTAGAGGCAGTCGTGTGACCAGGGAGGTGACATTCCATCCCGCTGGGGAGCCAGGGGTACAGAAACGAGACTGCGCCCCTAGCACCGCATAGCATTGCCAACTTGCCAATCACACGGCACCGAACACCCTTGCCCCGCCCCCTGCCCCGCCCTTTCCTTAAGGCTTTGTCTTTGCTCCCCCCACCTCCCCCCCCCCACCATCACTCGCTCTCCCACTCCCGCTCGCTCACTTTCACCCCGCTAGGACTGGGCTGCAGACTTCGGCGTGTGGCCCAAAACGAGGGGTTCACGGAGCAGGAGGGGGTTCCAAGCTGGGGCAGACGGGTTGGGGCACTGAACGGGGTAAGGGCTCCAGCTGGGGCAGAAGCTCTGGGGTGGGGCTGGGGAGGAGGGGTTTGAGGTTCAGGAGGCGGGTCCCTTTTCCACCAGGTGTCCCAGATGAACACTGGACATCCCTAGCCCCGCCCCCCGCCCCCCATGGAAAGGGGTCTGACGGAGATTGGCAGCACAGAGTCCCAATTACTGGAATGCACCTTGAGGAGCAGGGAGGTGGGGCGGTAAGAGGCTAGGACCCTCCTACTTTTTCCTGGCTGTCAGGGGAGCAAGAAGGGGTGGGATATTGGGGAAACAGGTGGGACAACGCTGAGGGCAGGGTTATGGTTCGGGCACCTGTGCTCCCCCCACACTTTTAGGGTCTGGAATGCACCTTGAGGAGCAGGGAGGTGGGGCGGTAAGAGGCTAGGACCCTCCTACTTTTTCCTGGCTGTCAGGGGAGCAAGAAGGGGTGGGATATTGGGGAAACAGGTGGGACAACGCTGAGGGCAGGGTTATGGTTCGGGCACCTGTGCTCCCCCCACACTTTTAGGGT